CGCTCTGACAGTTCAGTGTCCTTGTCCCAGAGCTGGAATCAGCACTGCAGGTGGGGTCTCACCTGAGTGGAGCAGAGGGGCAGAATTCCCCCCTTCCTGCTGCCCACAGGGCTTTGTACAAACACAGCCCAGCACACGTGGCTGGGGCATGTCCAGTCTCCCCCACCAGCTCCCCCAAGTCCTTCTCCCCAGGGCTGCACTGGATCTGTTCATTCCCAACCTGGATTGATCCCAAATGTTGTCCCAGCCCAGGTGTCCCACCTTGCAGTGGGTCTTGTTAAGCCTCATGAGATTCCCATGGGCCACTTCTTGAGCTTGTCCAGGTCTCTCTGGATGGCCCTGTCCTTCAGGTGTGTCACTGCACCCTAAGTTTGGTGTTACCAAACCTGCACCTGAGGGTGCACTCGACCCCTTCATCCATGCCATTAACGGTGATACTAAATAACACTGGTCCCAGTATGGACCCCTGAGGGGCATCTGCTGTCCATCCAGAGTCTGAGCCATTGACCACTGCCCTCTGGATGTGACCATCCAACCAATTTGAAACATATAATTAACCTTTTTGAGTTATAATTTCATGAATACATTTTCTTTGCTCTATCTTGTAGTTGTATTTTGTGTTTATGAATCCTATGTTAAAACAAAAGTGGTGATTTATAAGTGAGTCACTGCAGCCCTCAACCTGGGCCAGGAAATTTTATTAATAGGTCAGTAATTCTACAATTTTTGAATCTCTGATAAAGACAAAAAAAGGAATAATGTGAAATACAAATGATGCCTGTATATGAAAATGTCACATGTTAAAATATGTAAGCTTTTTATAGAGCCTCAGTCTTGCTGATTTCAAACAAATTTTTCTTCTATGTATCGCTTTTAAGAGAGCTATCAGTTTAGCTATCAGACTCTAGGTTGATGCATTTTTGTACTTAGCTGTACTGTGTGATATTTTTCATTATTTTAGGAAGCCAACATGGGAAAAAAATACTGTTATAAAATATGTAATGGGGTTTGAAAGCTGGGAAGGAGAATATACTGCTGTACAGCTAATAAATAATAACGGATTAACACGTGTGCTCACTGGCTGCTTTCTTTGTGTGCATCAATGGTGCGACCTGGCAGCTCCCTCCAGATGGAAAAGCTGCTCTGCCCAGAAGGATGCTGTCAACAGGGACCAGCTCCTTTCTCGCTGCAGGTGTTCCCTCTGCCCCAAGCCAAGTGCAAGGTACCCATCCATGACCTTAAATCACGGTGTGCTACCCTGTGTGTAGAGGAGGGAGGATGTAAAATGCAAATGTTGGCGTTCACAGCTTGAGCTTGGAGTAACATGGGAGTAGTTGTTACTTGTGTTTGTTTTGACTGTGATTTTAAATGGTTATAGCTGATGGTTTAGTTAACAGGAGTATAGTTTCCATTTCTTTCTGAAAAATGGGATTGGTACTTGGGTGGGGTTTCTGTGTGTGTTTTTTAGTTACCTCTGACAGCAGTTTATGGTGCCAGCTGTGGGCAGTGACTGCAGGTTCAGGATAGAACCCTCCTAGTGCTGGTACAGGAGTCACTGCAGATGACACTGCTTAGGAAACTGTTACCAAGCACAAGAGTTGCTAGTTCTGGTTTTCACTAGGTGTGTGGTGACTCCTTATCCCTGGTCTTGAGAGATAGACTTGTCAGGGAAAGCCTGTCTGGAGGTGGAAGCGTGGAGTCCTGAACAGGCTGGAGGTTTGTTGCAGCAGGTGGGAGAGGTTGTGTAAGGGCTGCTTCTATGAGAAGTCAGGTCTGGCTGAGAAATGGGTAAATCCTCAAGTGCTTTCCCAGCTGGGCAAGGAGCTTGTGTACTCAGAAGCCAAAGATGTTTCGGTCTGAGGTAATGCTGAGGTGGCTTTACATAAGCCTGGAGCTAGGGAGGCTTTGTGGTGTGTGGGAAAACCAAAGGTGTCCCTGGGATCTCTAAGGAGAACCACCATCATCTCTTAAACCCTGTGGCTCAACCCAGTGCTGACAAGTGGGGTGTGAAGGATGGTGCAGTGGCTTTGTTTTAGGTGGTGGTGGCCCAAGGAGGTGTCACACTTGCTCCAGCAGAGACCTCTCTTGTTCTGTGTGAGTGTTCCATGTGCAGCAGCTTGTGCTGTTGTACCCAGGCCTGGGTGACACCAAACCAGGTGCTCCAGCTCTCCTGGAATTCAGAAGAGCTGAGGGAGGTGGCTGTGTGTGAACAGCTTATTGGGAGGCTGAAAGGAAGAGAGCCTGAGAGATTCTGTTTGTCCAAAGACCACAGGTGTGGTTGGTGCTGAGTGGCCTCTGGCGTGTTCATCTGAGGAAACCGCACTTGATGAAGGGTTGTGGGCTGTGACCATGTGCTGACCTCATGCTCTGTCCTTTAAGCCCTGTGACCTTCATCTGCGCACCCCTGAGGTGGCACTGTCGGGGCCCAGGTGAGCACCACCACCCCAAGAGTCTGTGGCTGACAGCTCAGCCAGGGGATGGGTGGCTCTGGGGCAGGGCAGGGGGGAACCTCACCATTAGCCAAGCCCAGCCAGCCCCTCCCACCGGACACAGGTGCTGGCAGTCCAAGAAGTTGGGGGACGTGCGACATCCAGGCTCTGGCAGGTACCATCACCCTGCTGTGATGCCCTTGCAATTGCCTCTTCTAGTGCCAGTGTTCCTGGAGCTCTAGGCTCCACAGCTCTCTGAAGCCTTAGCCTGAGGCACAGGGAAGCTTGCTGCTGGGGCTGAGATGCCTGTTCCAATGGGGGAATCCAGATCAGAAAGGAGTAGGAGCAGCAATGTTGGGGCTTTGCCATGATTGCCTTGGCAGGCCTTTTCCAACTCCAGTGTTCCTGGTGCTCTTGGCTCTCTGGCTCTCAGCTCTAACCCTAAGCATAGCCCTAGCCCTTAACCCAGATCTGAGGAGCGATTTCTGAGCAACTTTTTTATTGTGATCTGATTTTAGAACTCTCTTCACAGACCCCAGTAGAGGTTTTGTGAGGATGGAAGCTGTCACCCTGTGTCCATCCTCCTTTTCTCAGCCTGGCATGTTACCTTGTGATCTGCTCAGTTGACCTGGTTTCTCTGTGCTTGCTCAGTCAATGGTCCTGTTATGCAGGCTGGGATTTATTTGATTTGAGCTCAGGCTTGTGCCTTGGGCAGGAATCTCTGCTTGTGCCTCTTGCAGGCTTCTGGTTTGCCCTTGGAGGAGCAGTTCTGGAGAGATGCAGAGCAATATCCCAGCCTAATGCTGAGGACACACATCCAGGGCAGCATCCAAAGCCTGAACGTGGACAGAACAATTCTGCTCAACCCAAAAGCTATTATCAGTGCTGGAAAAGCTGGGTCTTGGGCTCTGAGTGGAAAGCCAGGGCTGGGATGGATCCAAGGAGCATCACTGTGTGCCAATGACTTGGCCTGGCTGCTATCCCTGCTGCTTGGGCTGCTGATCTGTGCTGGACACAGAGGTGTGTTGCTCCAGATACCCTGATGTGCCTGGGCCTGCACAGAGGCAGGGAACACTTGTGCACATGGATCTCTGGCCCACTCCTGGAGTACAGGTCCTGCTGCACTGGTGCTCAGAATGTTCCAGCATGTGCCAAGCAGTATTTTGGGGATGCCAGCTTGCCTGGAGCTTTGTGTGCTTCTAGTCTTCCATAGAAGCCATTCTGATGCGTGAAAGGGACAGCTGCTCCCTCTGTGTCCTGAATATATATCCTTGCATGACAAAGATGGGAGATGGTGCCCTTTTGAAAAGTTCAGATACCAATAGCCTGGCCTCTTTTCATCCTGGAAAAAACATGGATCCAGCCAGGACTGCTGCTGGTGGCTGCTGACTCCACTGGAGCAGTGAACACTCTGTTCCCTTCATCCTCCTGGTGCTCATCCATCTGCTGACGTAGCTGAGGAGGCTCAAGGAGGTGTCTCAGCAGAGGTTGGTCTTTGCCCTGAGCCGTGTTCTCCCCAGTCACCTCCTTGAAAAGAGCTCTGTGCTGTGGTTGGGCTCTGTGAAGACGCTGTCCCTACAGGGAGATAATTCCTGCCTTTGCCTTCACACACGAGGTGGTTTCAGAAACACTGTGGCCCCAAGTGCATGTGGTGGGAGGGCAGTCACCCATCCCTTCCCACCTTCTCCTGAGTCATTTGACCTCTGGGAAAGCTTGGTGAGCTCCTGGTTGGTAGATTGGAGCCTGGGGCTTGGAAGTTTGTCAGAAAGGGGTAATTTAGGGGAAGAAGGCAGCTGCTGTCACCCTCCATCCCGATGGATACCCGGGCTGCTGGCTGAGAGCAGCTTTGCCTCTCCCTCAGCACCTCTCCTGAGTCCCTAATGGGGCCAAGCTGAGCCAACAGGGGGAAATCCTGAGTCCAGGGAAGCTCTGCAGCATGTCATGGGACACAGTAGTGCTTCCTGGTCCAAAACCTTCCTGGATGAGTGGAGTGGTTGATGTGCTCCAAGGAAGTTGCTTGGCTTCTGCCTCTCGCCCCTGCTTTGGGACAGCAGTTTTGTCACTTTGGCAGGAGACCTGGGGCATTTCTGTTGTGCCCTTCCTTCAGCATCATGGGCATCCATCCTCCAGAGAGCAGCCTGCAGCGGGCACTAGCACCCACCTCCATTAGCTCCCCTTGCAGATTCCCAGTGCAAGATGGGTGATGGAGCTGGGCTGATTGTCCAGTGCTGGGAAGGGTAGACTTACCCTTACCCCACTCACCAGCCATCTTCAGGCGGAAATGTGTCCCCATGAAACACCTCAGAAGATAAGGAGAGGTCACGGATCCTCAGCCCTGGAAGGCTGGGACTATGGGGAGATGCTCCGTGCCGGGAGGGGTGTCCTGCTCAGCCAGGGGAAGCCACACGGGAGCAGAAGGGTGCTGGGTAGTGCCGCCCTCTCCTCCCGGCGGGGCCGGTGGGCCGTGGGCACCGTCGCTTTCATTTCGCTTCTCTTGCTCAGGCGGTAAATCTCGCCTGACGGGGCAGGAAGAGGCACCGGGAGGGGGAGGAGGCACCGAGGCGGCGGCGCTGCCGGTTGGGAACCTCAGCGCTTCCTCCCGGCAGGGTGCCCTTCCCACGGCGCCCAGGGATGCTGCCCTGACACCCGCATCCCCGGGCAGGTGACCCCGTGGTCCCAACCATGGCTGCATCCCCTGGAGGGATCCCCACTGAGCTGCAAGGTAAGCATCGCCCGCTGCCGCGCTGCCGGGGCATCGCTGCCACATGGAATCCGCCCGGACGGGGCCTGCTTGGCCCAAATTTGCCTCGCTGGGGTCGGCAGAGTCACTTTTGGGTCCCTCAGCTGCAACAGCTGAGGTTCAGGGGGGCCCATGCGGTGTCTAGGGGTTCCTCTTGTCCGTAAAACTCATTTGCCTGAGGATGGACCTTGGACCAAGAGCATCCCCAGATAACCTGGCTCTCCCAGGATGGGATTCTGCATGGCTCAAGCTGCCAGATTTGTGGGTGCAGCTTGGTGCTGCTCAGTCCCATGGGCTTGGGTTCCTCTGGCCAGCTGGGGGTCCCTGGCAGCTCCCCAGGCAGGCACAGCCTGCAGCTCGGTGTGGGGGTGTGTGAAGTACCACTGCTCACAGCCTTCTCTTGGCTGACTGAAAAAGCAAAAGGCCACGGACATCTCAGGGTCCCTCAGCCTCCTCAGCCCCACCGAGGCTTGCAGTGAGGTGAGAAGGAGCTGGGTCACCGTGTCCCCACAGCCTCAGGTCCCAGCTCTACCAGGGTGGGTCCCTGGGGACACGTGGCTCAAGCCACTGGACCCAGTGGGGTCGATGTCATTGTGAAAGCCTGGTTTGCTCTGAACAGTGATGGACAGCTGTGGTTTTGGTCCTGTTTCTCCCAGCGAGGAGCATGAATCAGGAAGGCACAGAGGTGGTGCTCAGGGCAGGAGTGATGTTCACACTGGCCCACTGAACTTGGGGAGTTTGGCACATGTGACCACCCTGCCTGCTCTGTGGGGAGGAAGGACTTGGGTGACCAGCTGCTCCCTAGTGGTAAATATGGAAAGGAAGGAAGAGAAATCAGGGCTCTCTTATCACCCAGTGCCAGCTCTCAGTGGGTGAGGCAGCACGGGCAGTGTGAACCAGCAGCCCCAATCCCTGTGCTTAGGCTGTGGCAGAAGATGGGGAGGTGGGTGCATCACCCTAGCAGCGAAGGAGAGCCACAGGTGTGAGGCTTGTCTGAGAGCAGCCAGGGTCTGATTGTCAGGTGTGGAGGCAGAGAAGATGACTCAGGTGAGGACAGTATCCCCAGCAGCAGCAGGGCGCATGGGAGAGGACCAAGGTGACTTCAGCCACCTAATTTCATGTGGACATTGGTCTTTTCAGAGGGCATCACCACCTTCCTGGGGACAAAGAAGGTGCTCCTGGTGCTGAGCATCCAGCTGCAGGTGAAATCCAAGTATGAGGACTTTATCTTGGTATGTGCAGAGTCTAGCCCGGTTCCTGCTTTCCTGCTTTTCCCAGGAAGGTGTTTAATGGCTGCAGTGAGGGACAGGGGTGGCTTGCATGTCACCATGGTCTCTTGTCACACCTTTCCTAGGTCCTGACACCCTGGCGAGCCTACGTGCTGCCTGTGATGCTGCCAGTGAGGGTGAGTATGGGGACCCTGTGCCATGGTACAGCCCTGGGGCTCCTGGGGTGCTTGGGGCACTGGGGGGAGTGACCCATGAGTCACCTGGGCCACTGGGTCTGGGAAGTCCTCAAGAGCAGGATGAGGAGAGAGATGGGGGAAAGGGGAGGGAGTCATGTTTGGGGGCTGGTGAAGGGTGGAGCCAAGGCCAAGCACTGCTTGAGGCATGGAAAAGTGTGGGAGTTGGGAGGGAGGGAACCCTTGGGTTTCCTTTTTCCATCAGCACTGGGGTTGATCCTGCTCCTCTCACACACAGGTCCACAGCAGCTTCAGCTTCCTGGAGGTGAGGGAGATGACGGTCCAAGAGCCCAGTGTGGTGAGTGGCACCAGCAATGGGGACAAACCCAACCTGGGCGTTACCCCCTGCTTCTGCCCAGTCCCCCATGGCAAACCCTGGTCCAGAGCCCTGGATCTGGGGGTGTTCTGGTCCCCCACTGAGTGCTGCTCCTCATCAGGGGTATTTCCCTGGAGCTGGAGGTGCAGGGAGACACCCAGGGGTGCTGGGGGATACCTGCACTTCTTTCCCTCCGGAATCCATGGACAGTGCCCAGCCATGGCACCTCCTGCTCAGCAGGGACAAGGTGACAAACGGCTGCAGGCTTACCAAGGTGAAGACAAATTTAGCAGGAGGGTGTTTTAAACCCCGTTAATCCTCTTAGAGAGGAGCAGGCACAGCAGATGTGGCAGTGGGAACCATGGAAGAAAGGAGCTGGATACCAAGGCTTGGATGTATTGGCTGAAATAGGGCTGTGGTCCTGGTTACCCTCGTGTCTGGTCCTTTCTAATGTCCTGTCTGGCTTTTTCTTGTTAAAGTATCACCAGCAACCATGGCCTCAGCCTGCACATGGGGCTTCTGCTGCTCAGCAGGCAGCCTGGCTGAGCTCCGGGAGAGAACTGAAGGAGCTGGGCAGAGACAGAGGGGTGCAGAGAGCTGAAACCTCGGGGTGGAGGGGGGTGAGACATCTGACTGGGATATGGAAAGCCCAGGGATTGTTAATGTGCAGGCAGTCCCACGCTTTCCAGCCTCCACAGCCCCGGGCACCGGCGCTTCCGCCGTCCTCGCGCGATGCCAGCAGATAATTGTCATCCTGCTCCCACGCCTCAATCAGCGTGTAATTAAATCAGGGAGCATGTTGCCATGGGATTTTTTTTTTTTTTTTGGTAGGAACCATAAGCTAAAAAAGCCCTAAACCTCGATTAAATAAATTCAGGGAGGAAAACCTCCATCCTCCAGCTGCGGCTGCTGCAGGCAGAGACAAGGCTGATCTCACCTCACTGCATCGGGCTGCCTCTGCAACAGCTTAAGTTGAATTTTCAGGAGGTTTATGCCTTATTCTGGCACAGTAATGTATTTTATCCTAAATTCCTGGTGCTTGCAGCATTCCCTGTGCTTATGGTGCTCTGGCTGGGTTGGCAGTGAGGAGCTGATGGCTGTCACCGTTGTGTCTGGGGGCTTGGGGACGCTGTGTGCTGCCAGCTCGCTCAGGCATCTCTTGTCCTTTGGACCCTGCAGGTTGTCATAGAAACAGATGCAGCATCTTATGCCTTCCGGTTCATGTCCTTGGATGATCTGGAGCAAGTTGTTATCCATGTCACCATGTCACTTAAGAAGGTCTTTCCAGACTCATCCCTTGGGTAAGGGTCCTCTGCTCCTGAGGGGTGGTTGTGTAAAAACCAGAGCAACCCCTTTGCCCAGAAGAGCCCCACATCATAAAATCCTGGAATGGTTTGGGTTGGAAAGAACCTTAAAGATCTTCTAGCTCCAACCCAAGCCCCATGAACACCTGCAGCTAGAAAACCCCAAATATAGGATGGGTCTACAACAGTGTTTTTAGAAGGAGAAAAACACCTGGATGAAGGTGAGACTCTGTTCCCTGACTGAGTATTTCTGGCCACCCTACACTTGAGGGTTGTAGCTAATCATAAAGTGGTGAGGATGCTCTTCTCCTGGCCCACCCTGACACACCCACCCCTCTGCTCCCTCCCCAGGACGCTGCTCAAGAACTCCCCACCCAGCCTGTACGAGAGGATCCAGCAGATCACAGACTCACTGGAGGAAATGCTGCAGAGCAACCCTGGGCCTTGTGGTGAGTCCTGACATAACCTCCCTCAGGCAAGACCAGGAGGGTTGGAGCACCCTGGGGACCATTCCAGCCCTGCATCCATCAACAGCAGCTCTGCTGACAGCCCCCACCTCTGCTGGCAGGGCACCTGTGTTGGCTTTAGTCAGCTGAAGCCCTGCTATTGGGTCTGCTGTCCACCAGCCCACCCTGTTCCATGGGGCAGGAGCAGGTTTGAGGGGATGTAGCTTCCCAGGAAGAAGGGGTCAGCAGGCAATATTGCTCAGAATCTACTTCAAGAATGTGTAGCTATGCATGCTTTCATCACTTCATATGGCACCACTGCAGAGCCAGGAGCTTTTCCTGTAGCCTGGTCTGGAGCAGGATACCTCCATTATCACCATAGCAATGTGCCTTGCCTGGAATCCACATGGATCAGCAAAGCAACCCACAGCCCCATTTGGGGGCTGACAGGAGATCTCTCTCCCCTTCGAGGAGCAAAGGGGGAGCCTTCAGCATCGCTTCTGAGTCCCTGTCATCCCTCTCCTGTTTCTCACTCTCCCCAGAGTTCTCTCTGTATTCCTGTGGGGAGGTCTGCCCCCCAAAACTGCCTTCTCTTTGCAGGGGGCTTTTCAGAGACCTACGCTGCTCTGTGTGATTACAACGGCTTTGCCTTCCGCGAGGAGATCCAGTGGGTAAGCTGGTCCATCCCACAGATGGAGCAGTGGTGCTGTGTCACTTGGTGGGCAGGGAAGCAGGACACTTGTGGGTGCCTCATGGAGCTGCTGGGGCTGGGACAGCCCAGATCTGGCACTGCAGCTTTGCCTGGCTCGAGTGCCCCCTGCTCCTTGGTGGGCTGGAATCAAAGTGCAGGTGGGAGTGGTGTGCCTTGGACCAGGTTGTTCCCCAGGCTGTGACCTAAGGAGAGCCCCTGGAAATCTGGGACCTTGCTGTGTGTCCTGTAAGAGGAGAATCCTGCTGGGACCTAGCCATAGCAGGACTCACTGTCCCCCCTTCCTCTGGACACAGATCCCAGCTCATCTCTCCCTACACCCTCACTCCCACCAGCTGGGCTGTGTTGCCTTCTGACCATTCCCTGCAGAAGTTGTCCAAGACTCACCAATCTGTCCCACCAAGCCAGGACATGTCCCCTGCCAGCCAGAGCTTTAGGGAAGGTTTCAGGCTTTGGGGTTAGGCAAGAGACTTCCCGGCAAGGGCTCAGCTCCCTCCAGCAGCACCAGGCACCTGAGCCCTCCCCAGGACCCAGGGCTGTGCCTGATCCATGTGTCCATCCTTCTGGGAAGGATGTGGACAACATCTACCACAGCCAGGACTGCCGGGAATTCAACCTCCTGGACTTCAGCCACCTGGAGAGCAGGTGAGACCCCCCAGCCATGCTGCCTGCAGTGTCCCATGTACCAGCACTCATCCTCATTCTCCCTGCCCCTATGCGGGGGCCCAACATGCTTTTCTGCCCATGTTAGAAGCTTTTATTGCTTACACACCCCAGGGATGCCACATCTGCAGCCTGACACCCCCTCACCAAGTGCTCTGAGCCCCATGGGGCAGCAGCTGAGAGTCCAGGCAGCCTCTCTGTTTATTTTTAGCTCTTAGATCAGCCTGGGGAGCTGTTTATGGGGCTGAAAACCCAATGTCACGGCGGCTTCTTGCAGCTCGTGACTGTCAGGTGTTTCCCTATGCAAAGCAGCCGGTGCTACTTGCTGCCCTGAAACTTGCACTGCTCCCTGCTAGCCCCCCAGATATCTGTTATAGCCTTGTTATCACCTGATTATAACCTGACAGTGGGGCTGTGAGCTCCAGCTGTGCCTGGAGCTCTCCCTGTGGGGCTCAGCCACGTCTCCATCCCAAGGACGATGGAGCAAGGGCTCAGCTCTCAGGGGAGGCAACTGCCAGGCTGGGCTGCAGCGAGTCAAAGTTCTGGGATGAGTGTTTTGGGGAACAGAGGATCTGTGTTCAGCTGGCCAAAGAGGAGACAGTTTTAGAGATTTCTTTGGATGAGGAAGTAAAAAAGAGACTTGTTTCCACTCAACCAAAACCTGTGGTGTTGCTCATATGAGAGCTCAGAGTTAAAGATAATTTAAACTGCAAGGTTTAGATGGAAGCATGCAAATATTTTGATTAATTTAATTTTCCCCAAGGCAATAATGTGGGGAAGATGACCTGTACCTGTGGATTGCTTTAAACCCACAATGCCCAGTGCTGTTCTGCTGAACATTGTGTTGGGGCACATTGAGGTTGGGTGTCTTGGAGCACCTTGGGTTTGGATGTGCTGAGGCACCATGGGATGGGTGTGTTCTGGCATCCTGGGTATCTTGGGGCACTCCAGGTATCTTGGGGCACCCTGGGGCTGGATGTCTTGGGACACACCCCAGTTGGGTGTTTTGGGTCACCCATTTGGGGCTAGACTTGGCTCTTCCTGGCCTAGACTCCCTCATCCCTGTCACCCTGCAGGGATGTGGCGCTGAGCGTTGCTGCCTTGTCCTTCAACCTGTGGTTCACCAAGCTCTCCTGCAAGGATTTCAGGCTGGTGAGTGCTGGTACTGTGGCTCTGGGTGCACCAGAGGTGGCCAGGTTCCCAGAAAGGCTTTCTTCTTCCCTACCAGAATCAGGAGATTTCAGAGCAGCTGCTCTACATGCTCAGCAAATCAGTGACACTGGAGGAGCTGGTGCTGGAGAACAGTGGGCTGAAGGCGTAAGTGAAGGTGTTGTGAGGCAATGATGAGCAGGATCTTGGCAGCCTGGTGGTTCTTCCCTCAGTGCATGCAGCAGGGAGGTCCATGCACAGACCCTTGTGCCAGGGGTTGGTGCCACACTGGGAAGCTCAGGGGGAGCAGAGACTCCCATAGCCTGGAAGGCCAGTGAATACCATCCAGCCCTGGAGATGCTCTGCTGCCTTCTGGCTGCTCAGCTGGAGCCAGGTCTGCCACACAGGCAGGAGCTGGTGGCATGTCTGTGTGAGACTACAGGGTTGGTGTCTGTGTTTCCTGGAGGTGTCCAAGCATTGCTCACATGGGTGACCCTTCTTCCCACAGTGACTTTGTGCAGAGGATGGCCCAGGTGCTCAGCAGCCATCCCAACTCTGTTCTGCACACCATCAACCTCTCTGGCAACCAGCTGGAAGATAGAGGTACTCAAATTCTGGGCTGGGATGAGTTTACACTCACCAAAATGGATGATCAACTCCAGATCCCACCAGCAGCTGCCTCCTGCCCTGGAGGCTGCAGCTCAGGGTGGGGTGGACACCCAGAGATGCTGGCACAGCCTTTCGGAGCTCTCTGCTCTCATCAGGGGTCACTGCCTTCAGCCGGCACATGGAGAAGAGTTCCAAGGGTCTGCAGAGCCTCAGCTTGGCCAGGACAACGCTCACAGCCAAAGGTAGAGCCCAGATGCCCTTGCCCCACTCCACAGAAGGAGTGACTGGAGGGGCTGCAGGGACACCCTGGAAAGGGAACCTTCATGGATGCGATGTCCTGCTGCCCCAGCCGGAGGGAAGTTCCCTTGCTCTGCTCCGTGGCTCTCCCCAGGGCAGGGAGCCTATGGCCATCCTCTCCCACTCTCTTTGAGCAGGGATGAGCACGTTATGCAAGGCCCTCACCGATAACAAAGCCATTGGATTCTCCCTCCGGCACTTGGACCTCTCTGGAAACCCTGGCACCCTGGCTGGGGATGACATCAGTGTGAGTATGCACGCTGTGATGGGGTGGGTGACACCACCCAGTCTCTGTCCTGTGGTTTGGATGGCTTTGGTCTCCTCTGGTCTGTGCCTTGCCCTGCAGCACTCCAGGCATGGGGACATCACGGCTGCAACACCCCGTGCCTGCCTGGGAGCAGCTGGGGACACCCTGGGGACATCCCCCTGCACCTCCTTGTGGGAGTGTGGGAGATGCCACGAGTGGGTTCCTGTGTGCAGAATTCACCCCTGTGCTCAGTGGGAGGGAGGAGACAGGCTGGAACTGGGATCCCAGGGCTGCAGGGTGCTGGGTGGGGGCGGGTGGGATTCAGGGGCAAAGCTGCTGAGCCCCCTCTGCCCACAGAACCTGCAGAGCCTGCTCCACCATTGTCACTCGCTCTCCCACCTTAGCCTGGCTGGCACAGACTGTCCTTTGGATGCTGTGAGTACCATGCAGGGGGTCCTGGCAGTGAGCCCTGGGCTCTGTGGGGGTCTGCAGCTCCCCTGGCTCCTCCTCCACATGGCTCACATCCCCACCCTGGCAGCTCTTTGGAGCCCTGCTCCATGGATCCCACACCAGCCTCATCCACCTGGATCTCTCCAAAAACGTGTACTCCCACAGGTGAGCCCTGGGATGGTGTGAGCGGGGGCTGGTACCCAGGGGGTGTCCGGTGCTGGGTTGCAGTTGTTGCCATGTTGTTGCCACCATCCTTTTCAGGAGGGTGAAAACCATCTCCCCTGACATCAAGGAGTTTTTCAGCCAGGCCTGCTCCCTCAGACACGTCTCCCTGGCAGGCACCAAGCTGCCAGCCGATGTCGTAAGGTGCGTTTGGGCAGCGGGGACTGGATTTGGGGTGAGCAGAGCCTGGGGAGACCTTGGTCAGGGCTGGTGGGGAGGATGGATGGAAGGGGCTGTGAGAGGCAGAGCTCTGGGAAGGATGCCTTCTCCAGCATCCCACTCCCACTGCCTGGACTGTTGGGGGTGCCCCAAGGCAGGTGCTGGTGCCCCCATTTCTTGCACCGATGGGGGAGCTTTGGTGACTTTTCCAGGGCATTGCTGCAAGGGCTGGCAGACAACAGTCACATCAGTGACCTGCACCTGGATCTTAGCAGCTGTGAGGTGAGGGCCCAGCAGCCATGGGCACCATCCCTCTGGCCAGGCAGTCCCACTGAGTGCCCTGTCTGACCTCCCCGACAGAAGGATCTCATTTGCAGGGCTCGCTGCCTCCCCTTGTACTGACGTCTTGCTGTTTCTTCCAAGCTGAGATCAGCGGGGGCCCAAGTCATCCAGGACCTCATCCCTGATGCCAGCTCCATCAGCCACCTGGACTTGTCTGACAATGGTAGGTTGCTTTTTCCCAGCCTTGGAGAAGATCTCCTCCGTCTCCCAGACCTTCATGTCCAGTCACCCAGCACAGGGATTGGGGATGATACCTTTATGCCCTCCTGCCTCAAGACTTGCCAAACTTTCTCATTTCATATATTTCTTGGCACAGTCCTCTTCAGTTCACTGCATCTGAAGTGGTCTTGTGTTGCTGGTTCAGGGTTTGAAGCACTGAAAGGGTTTCCCTGGTCAGAAACTCTTCCCACCTCTCTGCAGGTGTTTGTTGCCTCTGCTGTGGCCTCCGAAGCCATGGGCAAGTGATGCTAATCCTCACAAACATCACCTCTGCCAGCTGATAATTTCACCTAAAGGCCCTAAACTATCAAACAGCCTTGCTGAGATCTCACAGCAGACTGTGCAGTTCCTCAGTAGCCAAATGGCTCTGGGAAAGCTGAGTCCTTCAGGACACCAGTGCTCCAAAAGCTTATGCTCCCACCCAAAATCTCTGGTCAACCTTTGCCAAAATATGCTTCTATTTTTGGCTTTCCCAGCAGAGCATCTCTGTGCAGGAGGGGCATTCCATAGGTGTGGGTTGGTGTCTCATGCCCTTGGCTGGTCGAGCTGCTGGGTGAGCAGTTCCCTGCCCAAGTCTCTGCCCTATTTCCCTGGGGATGGTGCAGCCAGGAGGATGGGAGTGCAGGCAGATGCCTGAAAGCTGAGCTCCCCCCGTGCTGTCCAGGGTGGTGGGTGGGTGATTGGGGGCACATCCCTGAGGGATGGCAGAAAACAAGTGCCATCTCCAGCTCCCTTAGTGCCCCCGTGGCTCAGCACAGCCTTGGCACCCCAATATCAGGAGTGCCCACAGTGGCTGCTCCTTCCCTGAGATCATTTCTCAGGGACCCCAGCTCTGTACAGGTCTTCTGTCTCCTTGGGTAAGCGAGGAAGGGGGGAAGACGCCCAGGAACTTCCCTGGGCATCTCCAGCATCCCACTGTGGCAGCTTGGTGGCTCTGCAGGTCTCCTGTGAGGGACCAGCTTGGTGCCACCTCCACCTGGACACTTTGACATGTCCTGGCCATGGATTTGTTGGAGCATCTTGGTGGATGTGTCCCGTCTCCTGCAGGCTTTGACCCCGACATGGTGACACTGGTGCTCTCCATTGGCAGAAGCAAATCCATTAGGCACGTCTCCCTGGGGAAAAACTTCAACATCAAATCCAAGTGAGTGCAAAGCAGCAGCACCCAGGCTTGGAACCATCCTGGAATTGTGCACCCACCTTGACTCTCTCTCCCCACTGAAAGCCCATGGTAGGGCTGGTAGGAATTGCCTGCCCATCCTGGCTGCTCCAACACGACAGGGAGGGTCAGCAGCACCTGGTGCAGTGTCACAGATGGGTCATAGCCCAGGCAAGAGTGGGAGGGAAGACAGAGCTCTCTGCCAGCTGCCTCTGCATCCCCAGGGCACACACAGGCAACCCTCTCACACACACCATCTCTCCTGCAGGGAAGGTCTGTTGGATGTCCTGCACCGCATTGTCCAGCTCACCCAGGAGGAGGATTGTGTAAGTCCAGTCCTCAGCCACCACAACCATCCCATCCATGCTCCTGGTCACCCTCAGCCACCACTGTGCCAGGGTGCCATCCAGCTCCCTCCTGCACAGGCTGGGAGTGGTCCTCCCTCTCTCCCACTGCCATTCAAGTCCTGCTGCTTTTATTTTTCCTCAGTCTGAAGCAGACGCTCAGACAGAGGAGTGGGAGCTGTTCCCGTTCGTCTGGGAAAATGGGAACCTGTGTCTGGCTAAAGGCATGGAGGAGACACTTGGTGTAACCTGGATTCAGCACAGCTTTCCCAAAAAACCTCTCTTTTCTCCTGTCTGCCAGGCATCTGAGCTAAATCCAGCCTGTTGCCGAAGCACTCATTGCCCTCCTGCTTCTTGGGGTTCAGCATCACTTGTTCTCTCCAAAACCAGCACCAGCCCAGAGGCTGCTGGTCAGGGATGGAGGCTGTGTCTGAAGGGTGACGCGCACCTTGACGTGTCCTGGCCACCTGTCCCCCTCCTTGTCCCTTTTCTAGCCTCTCCAGTCACTGTCTGTGGCTGAATCGCGCCTCAAACTGGGAACCAACGTCCTGCTGAGTGCCCTGGGCAGTAACACCAGCCTCGTCTCCCTGGACATCAGTGGCAATGCCATGGGGGACACGGGAGCCAAGATGCTCGCCAAGGCCCTGCAGATCAACACCAAGCTCAGGTAGCAGCAGCTCTATAACACCCCATGGGTGACGCTGTGCTGGGTGGCCCTGATGTGATGGTTGTGATGCTGATGCCATCAGAGGAGGCTTCTCATGGCTCCTGCTGGCCATGGATGTGGTCCTGGACCGCTCCTGGTACATGGTCGGATTCTATGGCTGCATTTTGCACCCATGGAAGTCACCTGGCAGTGCTGGCAGGGGACATGTAAAGAACAAGAGAGCGGCTCAATCCCTGCCCTGGCACTTGCCACCTCTTTTCCAGGCTCCTGCACAGCCCAGTGTGCTACAGACAGACCTTTGTGGTCACTGCCCTCCCCTCATGCTCTGCCATCAGTTCCTAAAGCACCATTTTTGACCAGATGGAGTACACAGAGCCAAAGCAGGGGTGTCTGCAGAGGACAGGGAATGGTGTTCAGCCATCTGGGAGATGTCTGTCCCTGCCTGCAGGATGGTGCCTGAATGTGTTTTCCCAGCCCTTCACTCCCTCCAGGCACCCATCTGAGTTATAGCTCCTTACAAAGTCCAAGTTTAGGTTTTGGATACTGAAAATTGTAATTTTTAACCCCACTTTTAGGCTCTCTGATGCCTCGGGGCCATGTGGGTGTGGGCAGGGGTCACCCAGGTCCTTCTTTTTGCAGGACTGTGGTTTGGGACAGGAACAACACAACTGCCCATGGACTCCTAGAGGTGGCTCAAGCTTTGGAGAGGTAAGGAAGGAGCCTTTTGGTCCTCCTGGCTTGTTGCCACCATACAAAAGAGCCTCTGTCACCAGCACATCACTGTCCCCAGGGCCTTTTTTCCCCTTGAATGGCAAGGCCATCACACAGTTTCAAACATGTCCCAAGGGAGTTGGTCCACAGCTCTGGCTTTGCAGCCAGAAAAGCAACCTGACACCTGTTTGGTGATGACAGCCCCATTACAAGCTCAGGGACTCCCAGCACAGCCTCATGCCACCCAAGGAGCCCCCAGTGAGCACAGGGGCATCTGCTGGTGCTGGTGATGTGATGCTCCTCTCCCCCTTGCCCATGACAGGTGGGTAGAGTTTGTTCACCTGCTGAGCACACCCACCACCCTGTCTGCTGCTTGGCTGTGCAGATCTCTGGAGGTCTGAAGACAAAGGGGTGCGAGGAGAGCCGGGGCAGGCGGTCACTGCCACCCCGCCAGGGTCCGCTGAGGGCCAGAGTTTGGCCATCCCTATCTCCAGGGCTGCGCCTCAGGAAAACACCCAGGCTGCTGTTGGGTGGGCTCTGTGCCATGTCTATGGGGACATGAGCAGGGGGGACGAGCCCTGGGTGCAGCAGCACCTGCTCACCCCACTCTGCCCCACAGGAATTACACGCTCAAGGCGATGCCGCTGCCGATGAGCGACGTGGCGCAGGCCTACCGCAGCAACCCCGAGAGGACGGAGGAGGCCGTGCACAAGGTGGGGGGATGTGGGCTGGGGAATGCAGGGCCAGGTGCCACCATCACTGCTCACAGCCTCTTGCCTGTGCAGCTCCAGTCCTGCCTGACGAGAAACCAGCTGCGGCAAACGCTGCCGGCACAGACCTTCCGGCTGCAGCAGGGCATCCTCACCACCTCTTCTGAACAGGTTTGATGCACAAATTACTGCATGGGGCTGCTCCTCCCCTGCCCAAAACGACCCTGGCTTGCTCATGTGAGCTCTTGCAAGCAGCAAACCACGCTTTTAACCTTTTCTGAGTGGAAGGCAGGAGGATTGGAGGGATGGAAGAGGTTGCTCAGAGAAATTGTGGACGTGGATTGTGGAAAGTTCTGGAAGTGTTCAAGCCCAGGCTGGACTCGGTGCTACCTGGTCTAGTGGAAGGTGCCCCTGACCATGGCAGGGAGGTTGGAATGAGAGGATCTTTTAAGATGCCTTCTGACCCAAACCATTTCATGGTTCTATGGTGAGGGTGGGGGCGGATGGAAAACAGATCTCCTGGAATCCTGCTGGTTGCATCCATGCATTTCATGCATATGCATTGCTGAGATAACCTACACAGTGCGTTCCTGCCCCCTGTGCACTCTTGCCAGCAAATCCCTGCCGTGTGGCATCCCTGGTCATGAGGCAGGGATGCTCTTGGAGGCTGTAACCTGCCCATGCCCCCTCCAGGCACACTCTTCTCTGGGAAAGTCACGGCAAGGAGGGGAACTGGCAGTGCTGCTCCAGTGCTGGCACATGACACAGCCTCTCTGTGCTCCAGATGGTGAATGAGATCTGCCTGAGTGTGCAGAAGCACGTCGACATCCTGAGCACCTGCACGGGCAGGGAGGTGGAGACGGACATCCTCTGTGCTGAGGAGGCCATCAGGAACGCCAACCTCTCCGTCAGTGTGAGTCCACAGCGTGGGAAACCCCCTCTGCTCACCCAGCATCCCTTCAGGATCGAAGCAGGGCATTGATTAGTTAATGACATCATTAACCAGCAGCCAGGGAATTCCAGAATGTCGATGCAACAGATGCACAACACCAAGCACTTGCAAACATTAAAGAACAGCTGAGAATTTCTAAATTCCCTTCTAGAACAAAGATCAAAATGTTTTTAGTCCCCTTGCCCCAGAGACACACAGCTGTGTGCACACCCCCCACAGGGTTACAACCCCTCTTCTTCTGGCATCCCATGCTCACACGTCCCTTCTTGGGAGAGAGGGGTGCTCCAGCCTTGAGAACACCCCGCAACCCACAGGTGCCCACACTGGTGAGAAACCTCACCAGTGAATTACTGAGGGATCCCTCCCTGGGGCACCTTCATCCCACCCCAGCAGTGAGAATGCTCCATCAGCCCATGACAAAACCCATCATGTTAGGTTGGCAGCCCCTGGCTCTGTCAGACCTGGTTTGATCCTCCTGGTCTTGGCTCTCTCTCTCCATCGCACCTTTTTCTCCTCTTCCTCTACTTCTCTTCAAACCACCTCATTTCTCCTTTTCCCCAGCTCCCTGGCACCCCCCTGGTTACTTAATCTGGCAGAGACAGGATTTAAGAAGACAGTACTGATGTTGGAAAGGTGGTGAAAGGGTTGGTTAAGGCTCTCCCTGATGCAGGTAGCAGCTTAGTGGGGTGCAAGAGGGGAAGGAGAGTCAGTGGGTGGTGGGGAGAAATTGAGGGGACTCGGGGACTGTGAGGGACGAGGATGCCTAAACCTGGCCCAGCAAAGCCAAGAGATCACTGGGTCTCCACAGCTGATGCGGGTGATGCTCTTCCATGGGGCAGCCGTGGATGCATGGAAATATGGGAAGAGAGGATGAGGTGCCATGGGATGATCCACACCATCTCTCTTCCCATGTCAGATCCTGCCCCTCTTGTATGAGGCGGGAAACACCCCCTACCAGAATGGCAAGCTGCAGCACAAGCTGGAGTGTCTCACAGAGGAAGCATCACAGACCTGCAGCCGGGAAATCCAGGTGGGAGCCCATGGGCAGCACAGGATATTCATCAGCCTTGGCCCAAGGATAAGGGGGATGGTGTCTACTGAAAACCATGTGAATCCTGATAGAAAAGAAACTGAAACCTTCCTTTCCTCCCCAAACTTCAGGCAATCATGCAGGCAGTGCTGGACACGGCCCACAGCCTGTGCCCAGCTGTGGTGCAGAAGAGTGGGGTCAGGGATCAGCTGGTCAATGCCATGTCGGAGCGGATCTGCCTCCAGGACCACCTCAGCCTCAGCACTGTCCTGGACCAGATGGTCACCGATGTCTTCAGCAAGCTGAAGTGGGTGATGTGCTGTTCTTGCTCCTTGCTCGGTCACTGGCACTGACCCGTGGGGCCAGAGGAGCTTTCTGGGGGCTCTCTACCAACTTCTCCTCTCCCAGCATTGTGGTAGAGGTGTGCTGGGTCCTGCTGCTGTGTTTTTCCAGCTGTAGCTTTGCTTCTTGCTTGGATACACTTTGGATGAGTCCCTAGGGTGCTGGGGAAACCCATGGAGTGATGTTCCTGCAGGCACATCCCCTTGTCTGGTGTTGACCATCAACAATGGGATGCATTTGGCATTCTCCATCCCAGCCAGTGTCTATTCCCACTCCTGTTCTGGCAGCACAGACCCAACAAGCTGCAGTACATGGGCATCTCCTGGGAGCCCCTATGTGTGCCACAGCCAAGCATCCATCTCCTCAGCAAAGCCCTCTTGGGGTGGTGGCCCCATGGCTTGCAGGGTTGGTGGGTGCTGGCCCTGAGAGGGCTCTTTCTGCTCCCAGTGAGATCAAGCTGTCCGTCACAGCCGCTGTAGCCGATTGCATCGTGGATGCCGTGCTGGGAGACCTGACCATTGCCCAGTGCAAACTGGTGAGTGAGGGGACTGCCAGTGCAGGGATGTGGGGCTGGGATGCAGGATGGTGATCTGGGTACCCAACATTGTCCAGGACAACCTGGACACCAATCCTGTAACCATGGATTTGCAGTCTGGGAAGCAGGACAATTCCTACCCAGGCTGGTTTTCCTCCCAGGTAATCCTCTCCCAGTGTGGTCACACAACATTAACACCCTGAGCAAAGTCCCAGCGCTGCTGCCTGGTGGGGGGTGCTGGGGTGACACCGGGCACAGGCCACTCCTGCAGCAGGGCAGCTGCGCTGGGCTGGACACCGGCTAATCAGGCCTAAATCCGCTCACAAATCCCAGCCGTGGGTAGGGAGCAGAGCAGTGCAGAGCACACAGGGCAGCCGAGCACGCTTCAGCCACTGGGATAATTTAAGCGCTTCCTAATGGTTTTAGGCAGAGAGCCTCTCCAAGCAGGGGCTCGACCTCCTGGTGCTGCTGCCGGAGTCGGCTGAGGACGATGCCACCGTGCTGGCAAGGGGCAGGAATCCTCCGGACCTCGCCGCAGAGGAGGTAGGGTCTGGACCCGCTGCCGCCGCGTGATCCCGCGGTATAGCCGCTCTTTATCCGCCTTACTGGATGATGCTGGGCTTAACTCCGCAGCCTCTCTGGGTGCACACACCCCCCAGCACCCCCCAGGGCCGTGCTAAGGCAATTAGTGCTGGGAAATGGGACCATTAGCCTGCCAGGCCTTGCTGCTGGCACCGGGAATGTGTCCTTGTGGCAGTCTGGCTGCTTGTCCTGCTGCTTTGGGACCTGGGGTCCAGTGTAGAGCATGGCTCTGGATGGGGAAGTATTCAATCCAGCGCTGTGGGCAGTTTTGGAGCTGGGACAAGGTGAGGGGTGCAGCCCTGGGAGCCTAGGGGTGATGGAGGGATTGCATCCGTCACTGGGCGAAGCCTGGCTAGCTCCAGCTGCCGTGGGATGCCTCTTGGCACAGCCAGCTTGTCCATGCCAGAGCTGCCACCATCCCTCTCTCTCTGCAGTACAAGATGGCCCTGCGGAGGAGAAACAAGCATTTCAGGAGCATTCGGCCCACACCAACCGTGAGAAGTAAGGTCACCGCGGAACTGTCCCTCTGCTGCGGCCCAGCGGGCGCTCGCTGCCTCCACGGGACACGGCAGGGGTGGGGGGCTCGCAGCAGCAACCTCATGGTCAGAGCCCCCCATGGTCATGGGCTGAGGGCTGCAGGATCTGGACCCTCCAGAGAGCCTCTCCCAGTGCTGTGGTGGGGGTCCGTGGGGGAAGCTCACCTTGACCTTGCTCTTGTGCTGGTGTTGGGCCTCAGCTGGCTCAGTGCCCTTGGGCAGTGGAGTAAATGCCCTGAACTCGCTCCCCACATAGCCAGCTGGGGGTAGGAGGTTTGTCTGTGATTGTGGGTGCCATGGAATCTCCCATGGCCATTTCATGGTCCACCCTGCACATAGACATCACCCACCCACCCAACAACCTTGGGGAGAAGACATTGCCCATGGGTTTTCCTTGCTGCTGGTGGTGCCCCCAGAGCCCTGCATGCCTGGGAGGGGAGTGAATCTCAGTGGGGGCACAGGCAATGAGCAGCTGATGGGTGCTTTGGCTAAAAGCAGAGCTCGTGCAGACTCTGGCACTCAGCACCCCTGTGTCCCCAGAGTATCCCTGAGCCCCACAGCACCCTGCCACCCATCCAGAGGGTACGTGGGGGAGTGAGGAGCTGCCTGCAGAGCAAAACGGGTGCGTTCGTGAGTGCTGCTCGCCGGGCCAGCGCTGGCAGAGTTCGTGCCGTACCGCCGCTGCCTGCAGCTCTCCGGGCTGCCTGCGGGGCTGGCTCGGCCCCTGCCTGAGCATCCCCCCGCAATCCCGCCACAGCATCATCCCCTGCCCGCAAACCTCCGGCGGCCGTGGCAGGATCCATCCCGGGCGGCGCCGCAAAGCCGCCACGCTCGCTCCTGGCGGGCACGGC